AATGGGGAGGGAGGGTATTTCAAAATATCTCCCTACTGTAGACCAAGGCCTACAGTGCTTGATTTTGTCTGACAGTGGGGTGTTTTCAGTGATGGGCAATTTGAATCTCCTTTCGTGCTCTCTCCTTCTGAGCCCCAGAAGTCTTTAAATAAAAGAGAAAATAACTTTTTAAAAAAATCTGGCTCATGAATATGCTTTAAATAAATGTAAACTTATCAGAGTTGGTTAATTCTAATTTTTCTCTTTAGTGGAAAAATGCAACTCCCTTCTCCCCCTGGGGTGTTTTCAGTGATGGGCAATTTGAATCTCCTTTCGTGCTCTCTCCTTCTGAGCCCCAGAAGTCTTTAAATAAAAGAGAAAATAACTTTTTAAAAAAATCTGGCTCATGAATATGCTTTAAATAAATGTAAACTTATCAGAGTTGGTTAATTCTAATTTTTCTCTTTAGTGGAAAAATGCAACTCCCTTCTCCCCCAAATATTCATTGGTGCTGTGGAGAAAGTGAAAAATCATGTCTGAAAAGTGAAAAACCATGTTCTACTCAAGCTAATGTGGTAGTAGGATAAAATTCCTTTCATATCCTATAAAAGGGATCAAGGGAGGTTTAGGTTGGACATTAGGAAAAACTTCCTAAATGTCAGGGTGGTTAAATACTGGAATAAATTGCCTAGGGAGATTGTGAAATCTCCATATCTGGCAATATTTAAGAGCAAATTAGATAGACATCTATCAGGGATGATCTAGTTTGTTCCTGTTGTGAGGACAGGGGTCTGGACTCGATGACCTCTCAAGGTTAGGGTTGCCAGATGGTTGAAACAAAAATACCATTGAGCACTAAGACCCAGGGGAAGCATTGCTTCCCCTAGGTCTTTTGGTCAGCCGCCATTTTGTGCCGGCAGCCTTTCGAAATCAGGTAAGCATGGGGCTTGGGGTCGGGGGGCTGGGAGTGTTGGGGACTGGTAGGAACCTCAGGCGGAGGGGAGGCCATGCACTGAGTGTTTGTAAAGTTGCCAGATGCCCGAGGAAAAATTCAGAAAATACCGGACATCTCAGGTGTCCGGTATTCTCTGAAGTTTTTTACCAGACAGGAGACGAAAATACCGTACTGTCTGGGGGAATACCAGACACCTGATAACCTTACTCAAGGTCCCTTCCAGTTCTAGTATTCTGAGATTCTATGATTCTAAAAGTCCAAGAGGACTTGGAGAAGCCTTGTTTTGCCTCACTCTAGTTCAGGTGAGGAGATGGGGAGAGAAGGGTAGGTGATAAATTTTTCCACATCACAATGCAGAGGGCAGGTCCACCCTGGCGTGTAAGGAAAACCTCAAGTCTGTTATCCCTCCTTGTTAGGGGGAGGAAAGGAATATACCACTTAAATTTGCCACATGAAGTCATTGTACTTCCTTTATTTATTTTTGTTTGGGTTACACATTGTGCTTCTCTAGGTAGCATGCAAACTAGCTTTTCATTTAATTACAGGCAGTCCCTGAGTTACGCGGATCCACCTTACGTCAGATCTGCAGTTACGAACGGGGTTTTTCTCGTCCCAGAGGACGGGAGCGGCGGGATGCCCAGATGCGCCGCGGTCCCGCCGCCCGCGTCCTCCAGGGCGAGAAAAGCTGCTCCACGTCTCCCTGGTCTGCTGGGGGGGAGAAGCCCCCCCCCCAGCAGACCAGGGAGATGGGGAGCAAAGCCCGCGGTGCATCTGGGCTGTCCCGCTTCCCGCGTGCTCCACGGCTTTGCTCCGCATCTCCCTGGTCTGCTGGTCTGCTGGAGACCAGCAGACCAGGGAGACAGGGAGCAAAGCTGCGGAGGACCCAGGTGGCGGGACCGCGGTGCATCTCGGTCCACCGCCCGCGTCTCCCTGGTCTGCTGGGGGGTGGGAGCACAGCTAGTGCGCCCCCCCCCTCCCCTTCCAGCAGCCCAGGCTTTTCTCCGGACGCCTGTGGTAGAGCAGCTGGGGCGCTGCCGGTTGGTCCCG